CCAGGTGGAGTTAAGATTCTGGTCCCATCACAGTATGTACTTTTCGACAAGTTGCCTCTCGGAAGACTTTTCGGGCCCCGTCCATGAGCCTTGAAACCAAGCAGCCACAGTCGTGCACCATCATTTTGGCTTGTTTGCAGTGCTGGGAGCGCTGTCAGAGATGTGGAACGCGAGGTCGAAGTCGATGTCCACACGACTTCGAAGGGCCTTGAGCTCTTCCTCTTCACGGATCTGTTTCTGCCTCTCGGCCTCCTCTGCTTCGAGCTTCCTGCGCTCAGCCGCAGCTGCATCCTCCTCACGTTTGCGGTTCAGGGCTTCCAAGGCTGCTGCCTCTGCAGCCTGTTTTGCCAAGAGCTCGCGCTCCCTATCTGCAGCCTCTTGCTCACGTTTCAACTCGGCCGCTTTCTTGTTCAGTGCCTCCTTGGTGAACAGTGAGCATGAAATCTCTTCTGTCAGAGAACTTATCTACCAGGCAACCTCCCGAGCAAGAGCAATGTCCATACCTATAGTAATGAGTCTTTTTTCCTCAAACTCTATGCAAGCAAGGGCCTAAATACATGAGCACCCATTTGTTTATTTTAAGACTCATAAACATAGTCCATAGCTGCAACGCAAAAACATCCCATTGCACCTGGCCACGGTTCCCACCAAGCCGGGAACTGTAGGTGGCAGAAAAACATGATAGTAGCACACGGTTCGGGAGCTTGGGCTGTAGCTTCTTCTTCTGCTCCTCGGACAAATTGTTCGTATCACTGTCTTCATCTGAATCGGCCTCTTCGAACTTGAAAGTGCCTGGAAAGGCAGCAAGTGGCCCTGAAGCAACATCTAGAACTATTAGGTCAAGCTGAACCTCAACCACTAACCTCAGCAGACCTGTGTTGTTCAGTGGGTCTTTTCAACCATCGGCCTGGTTTGACTGCCCATGGATCGAACGCACGCTGCTGGCGGAGAACTTCCTGCCCACCTGTAAGCCAAGCTGAAAAATCGGACGCCATGCCTGGCTGGAATCAGCTGCTAAACAATGACAATAAAGTTGGTCAAGTAGTGTATTCCTCCAGATAGGATATCTTCCTGCATGTCCAGTTGGTCAGTTGGTAAGCTGCAGGAAGACAAAGAACGATCTACCAATTATAGTCCTTTATGAACATATCTGTCTGTGCAGCAGCAGCATCAGCCTGAGCCTGAATGTTGCGGCAGATGACACAGACAACCGAGACACTTCAGGCACCACAACACTCTCAGCAGAACAGCACAGCAGCATCATCATCAAGAAGCCTGCTGGCCTGAGCCACCACGCTCTGGCATGTCTGCAGAAGCTGGCCGCAACGACCTTGCAGTGACTGTACGAGGAAGTCAGTTTGTGTCTTTCAGGCAACTCATGATTGGCTGCCCCTTCAATGATTCACAGTATACAAGAGTAAAAAAAGAGGGGGAGCAGGGTATACGGCTGTGGTGTCGGACAAACTCTTCGGAAAGAAAGACCCACCAGCCCGCGCAGCGGAGAAATTTTTTCCAGGCCCTGTGGAGTGAGGAGAAACATGGGGTGGTGGAGGCTGCCTGGCCCGGGAGAAACTATTCAGAAATGAAGACCCAACAGCCCGTGCAGCGGAGAAATTTTTTCCCCATGCCCTGTGGAGTGAGGAGAAACATGGGGTGGTAGAGGCTGCCTGGCCCGGGAGAAACTATTCAGAAATGAAGACCCAACAGCCCGTGCAGCGGAGAAATTTTTTCCCCATGCCCTGTGGAGTGAGGAGAAACATGGGGTGGTAGAGGCTGCCTGGCCCGGGAGAAACTATTCAGAAATGAAGACCCAACAGCCCGTGCAGCGGAGAAATTTTTTCCCCATGCCCTGTGGAGTGAGGAGAAACATGGGGTGGTGGAGGCTGCCTGGCCCGGGAGAAACTATTCAGAAATGAAGACCCAACAGCCCGTGCAGCGGAGAATTTTTTTTCCCCAGGCCCTGTGGAGTGAGGAGAAACAGGGGGTCGTGCTGTCTGTGGTGCAACCTATTCAGCACTAAAGACCCACCAGCCAGCCCGCGCAGCGGAGATTTTTTTCAAATGTTTCTCCCACCTTTCGTACCTATTGTAACGCAGTGTTCGCAGCGCGGTGTTGCAGCGTTGCAAAAGCCACAAAAGGTGGGACAAACGTTTTGTATGTCCCACCTTTCGTACCTATTGTAATGCAGTGTTCGCAGCGCGGTGTTGCAAAAGCCACAAAAGGTGGGACAAACGTTTTGTATGTCCCACCTTTCGTACCTATTGTAATGCAGTGTTCGCAGCGCGGTGTTGCAAAAGCCACAAAAGGTGGGACAAACGTTTTGTATGTCCCACCTTTCGTACCTATTGTAATGCAGTGTTCGCAGCGCGGTGTTGCAAAAGCCACAAAAGGTGGGACAAACGTTTTGTATGTCCCACCTTTCATACCTATTGCAACGCAGTGTTCGCAGCGCGGTGTTGCAAAAGCCACAAAAGGTGGGACAAACGTTTTGTATGTCCCACCTTTCGTACCTATTGCAACGCAGTGTTCGCAGCGCGGTGTTGCAAAAGCCACAAAAGGTGGGACAAACGTTTTGTGTGTCCCACCTTTCATACCTATTGCAACGCAGTGTTCGCAGCATGGTGTCTCACCTTTTGTGCTTCTGGAACACGAGTATTGCAAAGGCAGAAAAGAAGATAAAAAAACAAGTAGTTTGTCCCACTTTAAGCGCTATTTTCAAAAAAGCGGTTAAAGTGGGACATACGTTTTGTATGTCCCACTTTATTGGCCCTTATTGGCCCATTATTGGCATGGTTGTCCCACTTTAAGCGCTTTTTTGAAAACAGCGATTAAAATGGGACAAAAAATGAAGGAGATTTGTTGTCCCATTTTAATCGCTGTTTTCAAAAAAGCGATTAAAGTGGGACATACGTTTTGTTTGTCCCACTTTAAGCGCATTTTTGAAAACAGCGCTTAAATTGGGACAAACGTCTTGTTTGATTTCTGCCACCTTTTGCAACACAGTGTTCGCAGCGCGGTGTTGCAAAAGCCACAAAAGGTGGGACAAACGTTTTGTATGTCCCACCTTTCATACCTATTGTAACGCAGTGTTCGCAGCGCGGTGTTGCAGCGTTGCAAAAGCCACAAAAGGTGGGACAAACGTGTTGTGTGTCCCACCTTTCGTACCTATTGTAATGCAGTGTTCGCAGCGTGGTGTTGCAAAAGCCACAAAAGGTGGGACAAACGTTTTGTATGTCCCACCTTTCATACCTATTGCAACGCAGTGTTCGCAGGGCGGTGTTGCAAAAGCCACAAAAGGTGGGACAAACGTTTTGTATGTCCCACCTTTCGTACCTATTGCAATGCAGTGTTCGCAGCGCGGTGTTGCAAGAGCCACAAAAGGTGGGACAAACGTTTTGTATGTCCCACCTTTCATACCTATTGTAACGCAGTGTTCGCAGTGCGGTGTTGCAGCGTTGCAAAAGCCACAAAAGGTGGGACAAACGTTTTGTGTGTCCCACCTTTCGTACCTATTGCAAAAAAAACACAAAAGCAAACAAAACGTTTGTCCCACAATTTTGCAATGCAGTGTTGGTAGTGCTGTGTAGCAGTGTTGGCAGCGCAGAATTGTAAAAGCCACAAAACACAACCTAAGACTGTGACTGTGACTCTGGATGCAAGCATGAAATCAGAGAGTCACCATGCGTGACATGCGTGTGCTGCTAGAAACGACTGATCACAGGGCGCAAACAGAAATCACGCAAACATGCCTTTTCCAGGTGCCTGTGAGTCACTCACTCCTTTAAAGGAGACACAGGCGGATGGCCTAAACGGTGTTCGGGCATGCTTAGGCATCTGTACTGCTACAAGCAGGAACTGTTAACTGTTAACTGCAACACTATGTTCTAATTCTAACTATGTATACAGAAATTTTAGACACCAATTCTTATGTATTTCTGTGTATGAACAATACACAGCATGCAGCTATGCCAAGCTAAGGAAAACATGCCTCTTCGGACGATTGGGATTCTGACTCCCCACCTGCCACTGCCACCGCCTGCTCGGGCTGCATCTTGCCCACTCAAAAACAAGTGCACGCAAGCCAAAATTGCAGGCCTGGCTCCAACAGATCTGCTACATGCTGAGGTATTAGTCATTGAGTTGGTATTCTTAAACTTACAGAGTGTTATTGCTCACAATTACAAGGTTACATGTCATGATTATTTCATGGTCTCATGCTAGCACTACCAACACTGTAACAACACTATCCACTTGCACACCTCAGCAATCAGCAATCAGAAAGCGCGTCCTCCTCATGATTGCTTGAGCTCACTCGGGCTTCAGGCGGGGCTCCTTCTTCTTCTGCATCACTTGATGGTTCTGAACGTCGCTTGCGTTTCCTGCCTTGGCTTGTGACCGAGTATGGCTTTTTTCTTTCTGCTGTAGAGTTTATGACATTTATACATTGCAGTGGTGCTCATGGTCCATGGTATTCCCCAAGCCACGCCGGACCAGGGCAACGTACTCGGACAACGGCTGTTTGTGCAACACCTTCACAACCTGTGTCAGCTTCAGCCACTTGATGCAGACGGTGTTGGCCAGGAGGCTGTTGATCATGTTCGCATAGGGGTCCGTCTGGGTATACTTGAAGTGTGGCCATGGCGTGAACTTGTCGGACACCATCTGGAAGGAGTACCTGACTGTGAGTGACAGCCTATGGTCGTTGCCTTTTGTGGGACACGCTGACAATCTCACTACAGTGACTGTCAAGATCAAGAATAAGGCCCACACTCGGGCGCCGTCGACATGACGTAGTCCAGCTTCAGCCACAACTCGATTGCTGACACCGTCGCGCAGCGTGTGAGCCAGTGTCCTGCAGAGGCGGCTGCCTCGGCCGTGGTGAACAAGATGACGTCGTGCGTGTCGTAGGTCACACCAGAGCTGTTCTTCTGCAGGTATCCTTGGTTATCTCAGCTCAGCTCATTAACAGCTCAGCTGGAACGAAATGAAACACCAACTTCTCAAGGAGAAGCCGAGCAACTCCCCAGGTTGGGCAACAGGTTGTTTGAAACAGTCGCACGCATGTCGTGCTCCGGCTCGCCTTCGTGCCCACCTGAAGCCCCTGATCTCTCCAAATTCAGATCGATGACCAGTGCAAACACTTTCATGACATTGGAGGGATCGGGCGGGTTCACCCGGTTGATCATCTCGGTCAGTTTGCAGTCGCACTCAACCTGCAACTCTGCGTCCATGATGTACACATCCTTCCAGCACTCGGACGACAAAGACAGTGGTACCTGAAGGACTAAGGAAAGGGCATGAAGGTATTGGCACGTGTGGTCTTGACTCACATCCTCCATACCAGCCCTCCCTTCCAGTGCTTACAGCAGGAATGGAAACTGGTATAAGCTCACTCTACTCTACTGTGCTTTCAATTGAGGTAAGGTTTTGTGAAGCCTTTAAATTATCCAACAGTGTGTTTTTCAAACCCAGAACCATACAGGAATGCACAAAACATGATTTTCAGGTAGGGTTTAGGGTTTACGGTTGTTAGAGTTATTAGGGTTATTCGGGTTTAGGGTTTTTTTTCACTCCTGCACAGCTGGGGCAAATCCGTATTGCAGTGCGGTTTAGGGTTTAGGGTTGAGGGTTCAAGGTTGCTCAAGTGGCCTCCCATGGTAGGATCGACCCACGGAGGCAACACCATCATAGGCGGGGGCCAGCTGAGCCCATGTGTCCAGGTGTTATCAGCAGATGCCCACTGCTGGTTGGCCCCAACCCCGCCCTAGGCTCCGTGACCAACCGTGGTCTCACCCGTCCCCACACCCGGCCAATGGTGTGTGAGCAGCTGCCGACAAGTGGGCATACAGCTGCTCATTGGTAGGGATAAGAACATGAAAGGCAACAACATTTATTAGGGTTATTAGGGCTGAGGTTTTCTAAGGTGTTTAAGGCCTCCGAACATGGGTTTTCCAGTTTTTCAGAGGTTTTTCAAGGCCAGAACCATACCGGAACGCCGAAAACAATCATTTCCAGATACAAAAATGATGTTTTTGTTATTCTTGCAAGCAAATTTAAGGGCTTCATTTCTGTCTTTCCTGTTTCTTTCTATTCTGGAGGTGTTTGTAAGGTGTTTAAGGGCTCTTAAAGTGTGTTTTTCAATTTTTCAAGGCCAGAACCATACAGGAACGCCGAAAACATCATTTTCAGATACCAAAAATGATGTTTTTGTTATTCTTGCAAGCAAATTTAAGGGCTTCATTTCTGTCTTTTCTGTTTCTTTCTATGTAAGGTTTAAGGGCTCTTCAAGTGTGTTTTTCAATTTTTCAAGGCCAGAACCATACAGGAACGCCGAAAACATCATTTTCAGATACCAAAAATGATGTTTTTGTTATTCTTGCCAGCAAATTTAAGGGCTTCATTTCTGTCTTTTCTGTTTCTTTCTATTCTGGAGGTGTTTGTAAGGTGTTTAAGGGCTCTTAAAGTGTGTTTTTCAATTTTTCAAGGCCAGAACCATACAGGAACGCCGAAAACATCATTTTCAGATACCCAAAATGATGTTTTTGTTATTCTCGCAAGCGAATTTAAGGGTTTCATTTCTGTTTTTGCTGTTTTTTTCTATTCTGGTGAGGGTTTGTAAGGTGTATCATGCCTCTGAAAATGGGTTTTTCACAATTTGTCAACCTTAAAGTGGGTTTTGTCTATTCTGAAGAGGGTTTGTAAAACGTTTAAGGCCTCTTTCAACCTCTTAAAGCAGGTTTTTCACGGCTTTTCAAGGCCAGAACCATACAGGAAAGCCGAAAACATCATTTTCAGATAGCCAAAATGATGTTTTTGTTATTTTCGCAAGCAAATTTAAGGGTTTCATTTCTGTCTTTTTGTTTTGTCTATTCTTCTGGGGGTTTGTAAGGTGTTTAAGGCATCTTAACGTGAGTTTTTCACGGTTTTGCAACCTCTTAAAGGCGGGTTTTTCACGGCTTTTCAAGGCCAAAACCATACAGGATGCCGAACACATCATTTTCAGATACCCAAAATGAGGTTTTTGTTATTCTCGCAAGCGAATTTAAGGGTTTCATTTTTGTTTGTGCTGTTTTTCTATTCTGGAGAGGGTTTGAAAGTGGGTTTTTCACGGTTTTGCAAGGCCAAAACCATACAGGAACGCCAAAAACACCATTTTCAGATACCAAAAATGGTGTTTTTGCAATTCTCACAAGCAAATTGAAGGGTTTCATTTCTGTTTTTGCTGTTTTTTCTATTCTGGAGAGGGTTTGTAAGGTGTATCATGCCTCTGAAAATGGGTTTTTCACAATTTGTAAAGTGGGTTTTGTCTATTCTGAAGAGGGTTTGTAAAACGTTTAAGGCCTCTTTCAACCTCTTAAAGCAGGTTTTTCACGGCTTTTCAAGGCCAGAACCATACAGGAATGCCGAAAACATCATTTTCAGATAGCCAAAATGATGTTTTTGTTATTTTCGCAAGCAAATTTTAAGGGTTTCAGAGGGTTTGTAAGGTGTTTAAGGCCTCTTAACGTGAGTTTTTCACGGTTTTGCAACCTCTTAAAGCGGGTTTTTCACGGCTTTTCAAGGCCAGAACTATGAAGGAACGCCGAAAACATCATTTTCAGATAACCAAAATGATGTTTTTGTTATTTTCGCAAGCAAATTTAAGGGTTTCATTTCTGTCTTTTTGTTTTGTCTATTCTTCTGAGGGTTTGTAAGGTGTTTAAGGCCTCTTAACGTGAGTTTTTCACGGTTTTGCAACCTCTTAAAGCGGGTTTTTCACGGCTTTTCAAGGCCAGAACTATACAGGAACGCCGAAAACATCATTTTCAGATACCCAAAATGATGTTTTTGATATTTTCGCAAGCAAATTTAAGGGTTTCATTTCTGTCTTTTTGTTTTGTCTATTCTTCTGAGGGTTTGTAAGGTGTTTAAGGCCGCTTAATGTGAGTTTTTCACGGTTTTTCAACCTCTTAAAGCGGGTTTTTCACTTTTTCACGCCTTTTCAAGGCCAAAACCATACAGGAACGCCGAAAACATCATTTTCAGATACCAAAAATGATGTTTTTGTAATTCTCACAAGCAAATTGAAGGGTTGTTTTTGCTGTGTGTTTAGTCTGGCAAAAGGGTAAGGTGTTTCAGGCCTCTTAAAGTGGGTTTTTCAAGGCCAGAACCATACAGGAACGCCGAAAACATCATTTTCAGATACCAAAAATGGTGTTTTTGTAATTCTCACAAGCAAATTGAAGGGTAAGGTGTTTGAAGCCTCTCACAGTGGGTTCGGCTTTTCATGGCCAGAAGCATACAGGAACGCCGAAAACATCATTTTCAAATAGCAAAAATGATGCTTTAAACGCAAGCAAATTTAAGGGTTTCATTTCTGTTTTTGCTGTGTTTTTATTCTGGAAAAAGGGCTTGTACGGTGTTTAAGGCCTTTTAAACGTGGGTTTTCAAGGTTTTTCAAGGCCAGAACTATACGGGAAATACCGAAAATATCATTTTCAGATAACAGAAATGATGTTTGTGTTATTCTCACAAGTCAAATTAAGGGTTTCGTTTCTGTTTTTTGCTCTGTTTTGTATTCTGGATAAGGTTTGTCGCACTGTCGCACAGTGTCATCTCATTCGAGTTCAGCCTGCCACTCAGGGACTTTTGCAGGCTAGTGTACCTTCGCTCACACTGGCGCAAGCTGCCGGGCCGGCAGTCGAGCGAAGGTACTGCCTGAGCCTGAGACTGAGGTGTCCGAGGCCAAGTCTGACACTGAGGTGGCTGAGGTCAAGCCCGATGCCAAGGCAGAGCCGACTCCGCATGAGAAAGCCATGGCAGGCTGTATTCAGGACTTGAAAGAGTTTCGCAGCAAAGCGCAGCAACGTCGTGAAGTTGCAAGATGGGTGCAAGAAGACGGGCAAGGTGGACAATCTTCATGGACAACTTCTTCTCGACTTGTCTGATGCTTGCCAGCAATCAGGGCAATCACCATGTCTGAGCTGTGATTCTGCGAATGTGCGAGTTCCCGTGCCCGAGAAAAACGCTCGGTACCCCCCAGCGGGTGCATGGCGGGCAGGAACGCAAAAAACCACAATTTTGAAGTTTTTCTTATTCTCCCGGGCAAATTTAAGGGTTTCATTTCTGCTTTTGCTGTGTTTTTATTCTGGAAAAAGGGTTTGTAAGGTGTTTAAGGCCAGAACCAGACAGGAACCCTGTAAACATCATTTTCAGATACTGAAAATTATGTTTTTCTCAAGCAAATCTAAGGGATTCATTTCTGTCTTTCCTTTTTGTATATTCTGGAGAGGGTGGTTTGCAAGGTGTTTATTAAGTCAACGGTTTAGGGGTTTAGGGTTTAGGGTTCAGGGTTCAGGGTTTAGGGCTTTGTTTAGGGTAAGGTGTTTAAGTCAACGGCTTAGGGTTTAGGGTTTAGGGTTTAGGGTTTAGGGTGTAACCCTCTTAGGGTTTAGGGTTTAGGGTTTAGGAATTAGGGTTTAGGGTTTGGGGTTTAGGGTTTAGGGCTTACGGCGTGACACCCGAGGTCACAGCCGAGTGTGTCTTGCCGGAGCTGGTCCTAGGCTGCTCAGCGGCCCCTAAAAGAAATAAGAATACATACTATTTTGTGGGGCTAGCCAACCCTAAAACCCTAAAACCCTAAACCCTAAACCCTAGTGGGCTCTTTTCATGTACCTGTTTCTGTACACGTCACGTGCAGAGACGCGCAAAGCACAAGCATTGCTGCGCCATTCTGTACTGGTTTTGCTTGTCGCTCTGAAATTGAGCTGTAAAGCCTCGACCCAAGAAAACTAAGCCCACCAAAATCAAGTTTGACACGTCGGGTGTAGTGACGTTTAGGGTTTAGGATGGCTGCCCTGACCCCAAAAAAGAAAACACCTGCAAAAATATAGGCAAAACCCATACAAACACAAACAAAAAGGAAGGAAACAAAAAAACACCAAAATCAAGTTTGACATGTCGGGTGTAGTGACGTTTAGGGTTTAGGATGGCTGCCCTGACCCCAAAAAACGAAAACACCTGCAAAAATATAGGCAAAACCCATACAAGCACAAACAGAAAGGGAAAAAAACACACCACCAAAATCAAGTTTGACATGTCGGGTGTAGTGACGTTTAGGGTTTAGGATGGCTGCCCTGACCCCAAAAAACGAAAACACCTTCAAAATATAAGCAAAACCCATACAAACACAAGCAGAAAGCAAAAAAACACCAAAATCAAGTTTGACATGTGGGGTGTAGTGACTTTTAGGGTTTAGGATGGTTGCCCTAACCCCAAAAAACGAAAACACCTTCAAAAATATAGGCAAAACCCATACAAACACAAGCAGAAAGAAAAAAAACACCAAAATCAAGTTTGA